AAGAGTGTGTGTGGAAATATCGGAATGACGGTAGAGATCGCGGAAAGATTAAGGAACAGAATTATCCAGAAAATATAATGAAAATAAACTAAATATTGGAGCCAATTTGTCATGGCCATCTCTGAAAGAGACTTTTGAGAAATGCCGCCAAACTGTAAATATCGATTAACAATTCTGTTCATTCCAGCAGACAGGAAAAGTACAAGGTCATCATCAAATTATTTCCTGTAGCATTCTTATAAAACATATTTTTCCTCTAAGGCTGTCTTCTCGTCATATTTTATGGGATTGCTCATTCAACGAGCTGCAATGTGATGCAACTATTCTAATTACTCATTCCAGCGAGATAGCGGCACATAAGACTTTGTGAAATATAATCTGAAGCATTGAAGGTTTACATTCTAGAGATAAATTCCGTCATCCGATAACAGTAACAGATGTGACCCATACGCTGATAAAAAACCTAGTATTAAGTCCTGTAGAAAGTATCGTTCTTAATTTAACTACAAAACAAGTGTCTGCAATTTGTACCATTTAGACACAAAAGCAGATTTTGGAGGTGAAAACATATCTCACCGCCTCAATATAAGCATGAACACAGTAATCGACCATAGAACAAATAAACATGATATCAGGCGCTTCAGAGTCCACAGAAACACTCTCCTGAACATTTAAGGGCTTGACCGCTTTTATCCTGCCGCAGTTTGTTAATTACAACACTGTTATCTGTGATATTTATTTATTTAAGGACAAATGAATATCATATCACAGACCATATCAAACTTCTTTTTGCTTCTCCATATGTCACGTTTGATCAGAAGAGGAAGATCTTGTGGCCCAGATTTTACTGCGTAATTTCTCTGGATCTGAGTGAAACGTTGGTCTGTTGGTCAGTACGTGCTTCATTAGTGGACTGACAAGGATATCACAGTCAAGTTGTTTACCCGGTGTGTGAGTTCGAGTAGTTTCAGACATCCTTATCATTTAGCTCCAGGCTTCTTAATTAAGACTGTTATTTAACATGAGAACTGACAGCTGCATTTAATGAAATTCAGTAGGATATAAATAGGCGCGTACATAAGGAGATATATATTTCAGTCATAGAACACGCACTATTCGCGCAAAGTAACCATCGAATTATGGCAAAGCTCCTGATCCTTGCTGCTTTGTCATTTGTCTCATTCAAAACAGGAGTAAGTTCCGTGGGAACAACCACCAGTCCTCAACAACAGAATCCACATACTGGTACTGACAAAGACCCATGTGAGGTACTCTTAAGCATGCTTTATCCACGGTTATTTACTACAAAATCGCATGTACTTCATGGAGCGTTCATTTGTCACACCTAAGTTTAACCACTCATGTCTGCCAAGCTAAGCGCAAAACAAAT